CACAGAGATCCTCCTGCCTCTGCCTCCCAAGTGCTGGGACTAAAGGTGTGCCACCAGCCCGGCCAGTTTTATTTTTCTATCATTTCTAATCATGTGTATTTGTGTGTGCTTGTGGAGCCCCAGAAAGAGGCTGTCAGCCCCAGAAAGAGGCTAGCGGGTGTTGCAGGATCAGGGAAGTAAAGGGACGTGAGGGTGGGGCCAGGCCCGAAGCAGTGCTCCTAGGCCCCAGGGAAGGCACTAAGGTGGTCTGGGTGAAAAAGATTAGGAAGCAGTACTGGTTCCCCAGGTGTCTGGGGACCCAAGACTAGGAATGGCACAGGGCCCAACCTAGGAGTAGAGAAAAGCAGGGGGAGATGGAAGGGTGAATGTGGCTTGGGGAGTCAAAGCGTGTAGGGCTGCACTATAGACTTACCCCAAGAGGCCTGAGGATAGTAGTGCAGGCTAGGAGAGTTAGCCGGTGGTGCAGGCCCAGGGAAGCAGAGAGAGGTGAGTGCGGGGCCAGGACCAGAGCGGTGCTCCTGGGGCCCAAGAAAGGGACTGAGTTGGTCTGGGTGAGAAGGATCAGGAAGCAGTATTGGTTCCCCAGGTGTCTGGGGCCCCAAGACTAGGAATGGCACAGGTCCCAAACTAGGAGTATAGAACGGCTGGGGGGATGGAAGGGTGAATGTGGCTTAGGGAGTCCCAGCGCCATATTTTACTTATTTTTATGTATATGAGTATATTGCCTGCATGTGTAAGTGCACTTGTATCTTGCAGTGCCTGTGGAGGTCAGAAGAAGGTGTCAAATTCCCTGGAACTGGAGCTATGGACGGTTGTTAGCCACCATGTGGGTTCTAGGAATCAAACCCAGGTCTTCTGCAAGAGCAATCAGTGCTTTTAACCACTGAGCCATCTGTCCACACCCAATGTCAAGTACATTTTGAAATAAAGAGCAGTGCAAGGTTTCATAGTGATTACTATTTTGAAGCAAATATATTACATTCCAAAGTAATGAATTCCAAAGTCGGTGTTTTTAATAATATTACTAGCCACAGAAATACGTGAAGTCAGTTTGCAGAGAAGCAATTAGAAGGCGTGATGCCTGGCAGCGTTCTGGTTCACTCATGGCAAATAGTTCTGGGATGCCAGGGCCCTTTCACAGGAATGCTTAGGCCAGGTTAGCCCTAAACCATAAGTGGCACCTGCAATGCTGAGAACATAAGATGGAGATGCTCAAGCCGGCCCCCCAGTGAGGGCAGGCTGCCACCATCTCACCATGCTAAGATTTCCTGGCAATGAGCCAGGACCACTCATTTCATGTACATAAAAAACATTAATTTGGGGGTTTCCATAAGTAATAGTGCTTACTGTTGAGTTTGATTTCCAGATCCAACATAAAGGTGAAGGGAGAACTGACTCTACAAAGTCGTCCTCTGACCTCCACACATGTGCAAGCACACACACACGCACATGCACACACACACACACACACACTAATAATAATAATAATAATAATAATAATGTTAATCTAAACATGCCTGGCAAAATAATTGCAAAGTCCATGGCAAATGTTCCTGAGGATCATTAGGCTTGGAAAATTGCCTGGGATGGACTAGGATGCATGGGATTGATAGAAGGCGAGGAGATAGGGGCACCCCATTCTATTCAGGGATGTTGCACCTTCGAAGTTCAGAGAAGGGGATACCCAAAATACATTTTCAGGAAAGAAGAGACTATCAGAGCTCATTCAGAGGTCTTGCCAAGCGGGTAAGAAAAGGGTTGGAAATTCAGGTAGAAAATCAGAT